TACAAACATTAGCGGGGCATGGTGTGGGCGCCTCTAATCCTAGCTACTAGGGAGGCTGAGGTAGGAGAATTGCTTGAACCCAAGAGACGGACACTGCAGAGCGAGACTCCATCTCAAAAAAAAAAAAAAAAAAAAAAATGGGACTCTATGGCAAAGTGAAGGGATCCTGTACTGAGAAAACATCACTTAATTCAGGAGCTTAAGGAGTTTTGTTTTGTTTTGTTTTGTTTTGTTTTATTTTAGATCCTCTCAATTTGTACTGGACTTTGGAAATCTGAAAGAAGATTTATTCTTCTGTTATTACCTTTATTGTCTAGATCGGGGTTGGCAAGTTTTTCTGTAAAGGGCCAGATAGAAAATATTTTAGGCTTTAGTAAATATTTTACAGTACCTGTCACAACTACTCAACTGCACTGTTGTGGTATAAAAGCAGCCACGGACAATATGCCACGAATAAGCAAGGCTGTGTTTCCTAATACAACTTTGTATTACAAAATGGAGCAGCTGGCCATGTTTGGCTGGCAGACTGAGGTTGGCTAGCCCCTGCTGTATACTCACGTAATATATAGATAGTGATTTATTCTGTGAGCTTTTCTTTCTGTCTCTAACCATGTGTGGTCACCAGCCAGTCACACAATATTTATGGAATTTTTCTATGAAGAATATAGAGCCTTTTCTTGTTCTTGTGTAGCTGACTGTGGAAAGGGGCTACTGGGTGAACAGACACAGCGAGCGGTACAGTAGTTGATAAAGGGTGATAGAGGAGTTTTGAGGTTTTGAGTGGTCAAGTATGCCCAGAACCTGGAGGCGGAGGGACAGAAGGACATCTTAACAAACGGTGCTGTGGCCAGGGGTGGTAGCTCACACCTGTAATCCCAACACTCTAGGAGGCCAAGGGGTGGATCACTTGAGGTCAGGAGTTTGAGACCAGCCTGGCCAACATGGTGAAACCTTGTCTGTACTAAAAATACAAAAATTAGCTGGGTGCAGTTGTGTGTGCTGAGGCAGGAGAATTGCTTGAATCCGGGAGGAAGAGGTTGCAGTGAGCTGAGACTGTACCACTGCACTCCAGCCTGGGTGACAGAGCAAGACTCCATCTCAAAAAAAAAAAAAAAAAACCCGAAAGAAAAGAAAAAAGAAAAGAGAAATGCTGCCTGGGACTCAGAGGCATTTGTGAAGACTTCTGGAAGAAGCGTTTAAGAAGTGAACCCTATCTCGGGGAGCCGCTGGAGGGCGTTCGGTGGAGGAGTATAATGTGGTCAGTTGCATGTTTCAGAGAGAGCATTCTGGGTGTTAGCGGAGTGTGGACGGAGAGGTGTGCTGTGTTTGTGGTTAGGATGCTGGAAGACTCTGAGGAAACTGTTGCAGCAATCCAGGAGAGACAGAATGCCTTTAAGAAGCTATGAAGGAGTTAGGTAGTAGAAAGTTCTTTTATTTTTAAAAAGTATTACATGTGGGCGGGGCACGGTGGCTCATGGCTGTAATCCCAGCACTTTGGGAGGCTGAGGCAGGCAGATCACTTGAGGTCAGCAGTTTAAGACCAGCCTGGCCCAGTGGGTGAAACACCATCTCTACTAAAAAAAAAAAAAAAAAAAAAAAAAATACAAAAATTAGTCAGGCATGGTGACGCATGCCTGTAGTCCCAGCTACTTGGGAGGCTGAGGCAAGAGAATCGCTTGAACCCGGGAGCTGGCAGTTCCAGTGAGCCAAGATTGTGTCACTGCACTTCAGCCTGGGCAAGAGAGTGAGACTCTGTCTCAAAAACAAACAAACAAAAAATCACATATGGTCACACAATTTTTTTTCCCCCTTTTAAAAGACTTCCAAGTATCCAGGGAGTTGTACTAGTGCAAGAATCAGAGCTTTTCCTTTAACAAATCATACATCTTAATTTTCTTTTCATAATACCATAATAGTTAATTAATAAAATAATCTTATTTGTATTTGGGAAAGAAATTTGGGATAAAAAAAGGCAGATTCTAATTATGCTTGGATTAATATTGTTACTTCTACTAATCTCAAACTCTTAAGAGTCAGAATCCCTCGGCGGGCTTGTTAAAACACAAATTGCTGGCCCCACCACCGAGTTTCTGACTCAGCTGGTCTGAGTTAGGATCAGACCATTTGCATTTCTAACAACTTCCCAGGTGATGCCCATGATGCCGGTTGCATTTCTAACAACTTCCCAGGTGATGCCCATGATGCTGGTCTGGTCCGCGGACCACACTTTAAGAAGCACTGCCTCAGAGGGTAGACGTGAGAAGCCTTGGGGATTTGGTTGCTCGTATAAAGGTAAGGGAGCGGGCAGAGACAAGCAGGATGTCCAGGTTTCTGGTCTGAGCACTAGGGTACAGGGTGATGCAATTCGCTCTGTGTGTAAAATTCACAATGAGGAGCAGGTTGCGGGGATGATTCATTCAATTAAAATCCTACTGAATTTGAGGGTACCTCTTTAAATATATACAAAAAGGCAATTAGTTATTTGTATCTGAGGTCAGGAGAGAGAGCGTAGGAGGAGAGAGATTGATGAATCGTCAGTGTGTAGATGATACTTGAAGCTGTTATGCTCTGGAAAGTGCCTGTAGAGTGGGAAGCAAGAAGACACTGACATATAGATAAATACTTACCCAATTAGGGGGAAAAAGATACAAGGAAAATGATAAAGAGAAAAAAACAAGATAGTTTTTAAAAAGGAAGAAGGAGTGTTAAGTGATACTCAAGAGATCAAGATTAAGACTGAAAACTATTGATAATGCCCTTGTAGAGAGGAATTTGGAGCGCTGAGAGCACTGCCCAGATTTCAGCAGGTTGAGGTTTGGAGACGGGTGTAGGGTGTGGTGGGAAGATGGGAGGTGAAGTCAGTCCAAGTGTGTGATTAGCTCAAGAGCTCCTGTGCCAGCTCACTTGGGCTTTTTGACCAGGTAGGTGCATCGGAAGGTTTGTGAGGGTGGGAATTGAAGATACCAGCCTAAAGCGGTGGTTTAAAGAGTAGGCTACAAAGTCAGAAGACCAGAGGGGGTGAATGGCAGAAAGGAGGGCAGCCAAGATTCTCAAGGTCTGCAGGCTAAGGGGGTTCAGATAGGATGCCTACAGGTATTATTGGGTAGATAACTTGGTTTTAGTTGGTAAACTGCTAGAGGGTGTGGCCTGGTGCGTGGTCTGCTGGCTAAGATTGCGTGAAGGTGAGTGCTTGCGTTGGCGTACTCTCACTTTCTTTCTTCCTCTGGATGTGAATGATTTGCTAATCGTGGTTCCCATTCCAGTATGTAACCAGTTTTCAGGTCATTGTCAGTTTTTTTGTATTGGTGCTTAAAAAAGCAAAACAAAACAAAACTGTTTTCAGTATTTAAAAACACATTAAGCTTTCTATGTACCAGGCTCTGTTTTAAGCACTTTACAATTATTAACTGTATTAATCTTCATTACAAGCCTGGTGAGATAGTTTTTATTTTCCTTTTGCAGAATGCACTGAAGCACAAGAAAATTATGTTCATTTTCTTCCTTGCTTTGAAGTTCCATTATCAGCACAAAACCTTCAACTGCATTTTTGCATTTCTGGCTATCTCTGACCCTAACTTGCTGCAACATAGATCCATGCAGGTTGAAACACAAAGCTGTTTTCTCCTGTGGGTATATAGTGTGTAAAATGACTGGTGGGGCCTGCTGTTTTCCTGGGAGTGACTTCTCTTTCTGTGCTTTGTATTTTTAATTCATGCTATTTACAGGATTTTATATGTAGAACAGCTGATGTCCAGGTTAAATGCTGTGGATGGGGGGAAGTATCTTCCATTTAGCAGCAGTTTTCGATTTATGGTATTCCCTGATTCCCACTATCAAACATAGCCTATCCCAGGATGTGGGAAGAATTTTCCTGTTTTAATTATTTCAAGCCATGTGTCTGCACAGTGTACATATTTGACTAATTTGCTGTTTTATGAGGGACTAATAAAAATATCAAAACTGAAGAAGACCTTAGCAAGTATTTAATATAACCCAGTTCTCTTAAATTGGCAAGCGAGGACATTGGAGCTCAAAAGGTAAAGCGACTTTTCTGTCCAAAATAGATTTGACAGAGCCAGGATCTTAGTCTCCTGCTGTTTAGGGCAATTTGCTTTTTCCCCACGCCACACTTCCTTCTATTAGAAAAGGAAATTTTTTTTTCATTTGAAACAGAGTCTAACTTTCCTCATATTATTGGTAGCTAATGGCCCTGTGCATTCATTAAATGTAGTTGGGTAACAAGTATTTCTTTAATAAACTAATTACCTCACTTCTGGGTCAGGTCAATGTGTTATGAAGGTGTTATGTGTTATGAAGAATCCTGGACATTTTTAGATTTTACTTTTAAGAAAATACTAGGCATTCAAAGGGATGCTTTTAAGAAAATACTAGGGATTCAAAGATGGAAGACAGCCTAAGACAAGAGTGGAGCTTAGCGTGATAATCTGCATGAGAAATCTGCATGAAAAATAACAGACGACAGTATTTTATTTATTTGTTTGTTTGTTTATTTATTTATTTTTGAGATGGAGTCTCGCTCCATCCAGGCTGGAGTGCAAAGGCACGATCCTGCAAACTCCTCCCCCTGCAAACTCCACCCCAGGGTTCTAGTGATTCTCCTACCTCAGCCTCCTGAGTAGCTGAGATTACAGGTGCCCGCCACCACACGCAGCTACTTTTTTTGTATTTTTAGTAGAGACGAGGTTTCACCATGTTGGCCAGGATGGTCTTGAACTCCTGACCTCAGATAATCCACCCTCCATGGCCTCCCGAAGTGCTGGGATTACATGCGTGAGCCACGACGCCCAGCCATGTACTTTAAATACCATGGTGAAATGAGAACTTTGAAAAGAAGAGTTTTAAGTGTCTCCTGTGTTTGCATTTTGTGCAGTGAAATGAAGGGGACAGGATAGTTGCTGAGACTGGATTTCACTGTCTCCTCTTAGGACAGGAGAGAATGTGTCTATGTGGCACGTTGGGCAGGGCTCACATGGGGCTTCTGAGGGAAGTCCTCAGAAGTTGGGTGGTTGAGTTGGGACATTTGGCCTGAGGGAACCAGATGCTCAAAGCCACAATTTCTAAGGCAATTTAGACTTAGTTCCCATGATGCTTTGTGTGGAAAAACTTGGCAACACTGATTTATTTGGAAGTAGCTACATGAGACGAGGACAGTTTTGATCATAGACTGATGGGATGTGCTTTGGGTGCAGATCAGAAATATATCAGAATCTCCCTGTAGCTTTGAAGTTGCAAGAGGGCTGTGTTTAAGCCTGTAGGTAGGAGTACGGTGGCTTCATTGTCATCACTGTTTTCTGATATTGAGCTGCTCATGGTCCTAGTTAGGCTGTACTGAGGCTCCTTCGGACCCAGTCAGGAGCATGAGAAGAGGGTGTCTTTGGAAAAAACAAAGCTGCTAGTGCGAAGCCAAAATATAGCTGAGATGAAAGACTATCACAAACTGAGCTATTTTGAATCTGAAAGTTACCTCATGTTTTGGTAAATATTAATTGTATTTTGATTATATTTACTGAAGACGGATGGACAAGAGGACTTCTGAGCCATGGTCCCAGGGTCATGGGACAAGTGGAGAAAACCTTTTCTTATTTATTTATTTATTTATTTTTATTTTTATTTTGGCGGGGGGCGGATAAAGGTCTTTATTGAACAACCTTATCTCAGTAACAAAAGAGCAGGAGGCAACAATTCCCCCAGAAGTCTGCAGCCGTGTCCACCCTTGGCAGCAGGATGCATGGCCCACTGATACGTCAGCTGCAGTTCAGAGCCCCTGGTGGTCACTTAAAGATCATAATTGGGGTTCTTCCGAAGGATAACAAAACCTTCCAGAATGGGGTAACAGGAAGAACTTCCTCAGTGGCCAATTCTGCCCGTTCCCCAACAACACTGGGGGTGTATGTGTCTGGATCCCTGTGATGGTCTTGGGCTTGCCAGCCTGGCCCACCACATGCACTGCCTGGTCCACACAGACAGACACTGGCAACGGCCACAAGTCCTCCTCAAACGTAACCAGCATTCGGGGCTGCATGGCAGCCACCAGCCCATACAATACATAGTGTGATTTGCCCAGAATAATGTTTCAAACATCCAGGCAAGAGACAAGCACAGTGAACAGCCCAGCCACGGCCACTGGACTCATAAGCTGCCGGTCACTGTGGTAGGGGCAGAGGGTAAGTGTACCCTTCCCTAAATGTGTCAGGCCTTGTGCCAAGTGCATCATGAAGAGGTGGTTGGGGTCCTTGGCATTGAGCTAACTGGTGCAACATTACAACCAGATGGGCATTATTGGTACCACTGCCCACCATGCCCATGGCAAAAATGGACTTATAGGAAACTTCTGGATCAGCATCATGAGAGAATTTGCTTAGAGTATCCAGAATGTTGAGTCGTGGATTTGAAACGGAGATGAGGGCCAGTGCTTAAGGTACAGCCCTCCGGAGTGTAGGCTCCCCATATCTCAGCAAGTGGCCGGAGATTCGTAGTGCCATCTCTGCACCAGTCTCCCCCATAGCAATAAGGGCAATCCCCAGAACAGCCACTCCCTGATGCGCTCCCATGTTTCTTTCCCAGAAAGAAAGCAGGAGTTTCCTTTTTGTCCTTGTCCTTCTTTTCCTTCTTGTCTTTGTCTTTCTCCTCCTTTTTGGAGTCAACGTGTTCACTACAAATGTGGAGCAGCTGCTGCACCTTCAGCACATTCCCAGAGCCTGCATATGCACACACATCCGCCAGTGCGTCAGCAAAACTGCGGAATGGCTCTGACGCGACCTCCAGTTCAGCCAGGATTGCCTCGATGGCCTCACTCTTCCCCAGGTGATTGAGACCCAGTCCAAGAGGAAGCCAACGAGTGTAAGTGTTCTTGAGCTCAGTCTCTGACTTCTCCATGATGGTCTGAAGGATAGTGGAAGTTACATCTCCATTGCAGGACCCCACTGCCATCATTCCAGAGACTAGAGCTGTCCCACCTGCCATCTCCATGCTGGACTTTGAATCTCCCATCACAGGCAGCAGCAGTGTTAGGACATCTTCACGATTTGAGCCAGTGTAGGCCAAGCCTAGCCCAAAGATGGAACTACGTCTCATGGTGTTGCTTTGTGGAGAACATAGTCTGAGAGCAGTCCCAGAGCAGGGTCACACTCATTCCGGACCCCTGAGTTCACTGTGCCACAGGCAAGAAGAGCTCCTGACTTAATGTAGCCCTCACAGGAGTACAGGTACTTGTCAGTCTGGGTGAAGCCGCTATCCACATCCCACAGCAGAATCATCCCCAGAGATGCAGCCGCACTCGATGTTCCGTGGTCCTTGTTCTTGTAAAGCCATTTGTTGCCATCATCTGTTAGCAGCTGGTCTTGGCCAAAAGCTGCATTCACAGAGCCATTCACAAAAGAGGAGGCCAGGTTCATGCGGACAGAGTCCACCTGAGAGCCACTACCCCCAAACCTGGTGTTCTCTAAGTGGGTTTTGCAGATGTCATCAGGCACCTTGGGCTCCATGATGTCCGGTTCCTGAGCTAAGGCCAAGAAGTTGCTGTTGAGCGGTACACTGGACACGATCTCTGCCAGGTGCTCATACTCCTCGACATCTTCCCTCAACTCCAGGAACAACCCGTGCCGGCCTAGCATGAATGCCATCTGTTTCTGTATACCACATCCTTGCAGGACGTGAAGATGTCTTCTACCATCTCCATGTCATTGAGCATCAAGGCCAATCTCAGGACTTCAGGGAAGCAGCTAAACGTTCAGAACACACCCAGGGCACAACGCAGTAGGGCTGAGTTCTCAGATTCAGGCACGTAATTCACACAACTGGTGAGATAAAGGCAGACCTTTGTGTATGCATTCTCATCGATGTCCTTCTCCAGCATGTCTACCTGCTCAATTTCCATCAGCAGGTTGCAGGCCTCATGCTCTGTATTGTGGGCCATGTCGTAGGGGATGATTTCCTTCACCAGAGTGAGCAGTGGCTCCTGCTGGACCTTCTCTGCGTCATCCAGCTCCTGCCACTCCTTAGCCACTTCTCCTGCCAGATGCCTGACATACTCATGACCCCATGATGCCAACTCCTTCTGGGAGCCTACTGGCTGATACTTGAGGCACTCACGCTCCCCACTCACGGCCATGGCCAAAACAGAGATGATAGCAGCAGCAAAATGCTTATTCTCCCCAGGGGCCACGTTCTCAAAGATTTCCTTCAGTTTGCCATAGTGTGGATGCAGACATTGAGAGGCTTGGGCACTGAAGTCATAGAAGTTGTAGAAGAACGAATCTGTGTTCACAATTCCTCCAGCACTGGTCGATACAGGGATGTGTTCTTCTCCCCCAGTCATTCCACGAGCATCTCCAGTTCATCTCGAAGCTGTTTATCCTCCTCAGACAGCTCCTGTTTTTTGTCCTTGTCCCCAGCATCCTGCCACTCCTTGCCGCTTGACTTCTTGTCGGCACCGCCGGGCGGCCGCCGCTGGGGGATGCACTGGCATCTTGTCCCGGTCTCCCTCCTCCACCTCTGCTGCCACTGCCCTTTATGTTTTAATTTTCATGGGTACATCATAGTGTGTGTGTGTGTGTGTATATATATGTATGTGTATATATGTATATATGTGTATATATATGTATGTGTATATATATATGGGAAAAACTTTTTCTTTAGTATTGTATTTGAAATGTACCTAATGTTTTTACTACAGTAAGGCAGTTTTTCTTTATCTTTATCTTTTTTTTTTTTTTTGAGACAGGGTCTGGCTCTGTGACCCAGACTGGAGTGTAGTGGTACAATTATATGACACTGCGGCTTCAGACTGTTGAGTAGCGAGCACCACAGGCATGTACCACCACACTCTGCTAATTTTTATATATTTTGTAGAGACAGGTTCTGGCTGTGTTGCGCAGGCTGGTCTTGAACTCCTGGCCTCAAGTGATCCTCCTGCCTCAGCCTCCCAAAGTGCTGGAATCACAGGTGTGAGTGAGGGCGCTGGGACAATGAGGCAATTTTCATATTCAAAATAGATGGCAGCTGAAGCCAGGCCATGGGTCAAGGCAGAAATCTTGCGTTATGAGCCTTAGAAAGCTATAACATTTGACACAATCCCCTGCAGACGGGGTGCTCAGGAGATAGGTTTTGAGTTTCGTGCATCAATTAGCTGGTCTTTGAGGGTGACATCTGTTGGTACATATAATCACTCTTCTTCCCGGGTGTCAATTGTGTAACTGAAAGATGGGATCTACATATGCTACGTTCAAAATGATTTAAAAAAAATAGTATGGCCGGGTGCGGTGGCTCACACCTGTAATCCCTGCCCTTTGGGAGGCCAAGGCGGGCAGATCACGAGGTCAGGAGATGGAGACCATCCTGGCTAACATGGTGAAACCCCGTGTCTACTAATAAAATAATACAAAACATTAGCCGGGCTTGGTGGTAGGTGCCTGTAATCCCAGCTACTCGGGAGGCTGAGGCAGGAGAATTGCTTGAACCCAGGAGGCGGAGGTTGCAGTAAGCTGAGATCATGCCACTGCACTCCAGCCTGGGCAACAGACCGAGACTGTTTCAAAAAAAAAAAAAAAAAAAAAAGTATGGCCAGATACAGTGACTCACACTGTAATCCCAGCACTTTGGGAGGCCAAGGTGGGCAGATCACTTGAGGTCAGGAGCTCAAGACCAGGCTAGCCAACATGGTGAAACCCCATCTCCATTAAAAATACAAAAAATTAGCCAGGCGTGGTGGCATGCAACTCTAGTCCCAGCTACTGGAGAGGCTGAGATGGGAGAATCGCTTGAACCCAGGAGGCGGATGTTGCAGTAAGCTGAGACTTTGTCTCAAAAAATAAAAATAAAACTAAATAGTATATAGTGAAGAGTAGAGTGCCTAATTTACTATGTAGTAAGAAAACATTCACTTTTCTTATAGGCTGTTTTGAGTTTATTTAGGAACTTGCCCCCAAATAAGTGAACACCAATCTAGTATCATTTTTGTACCATTTCACTTGACAGTTGTTATAGGGTCTGTTCTTTAAAATGGAATCTGGATAGAATGGGAATTTCAGACTCATTTTGGAGATAAGCTGTAAAGAACTAATGGAGGATGATGTTCTTCTCAGGGTAAGATGGAAGACAGGGCAATGAGACCCCATGGTGAATGCAGATTAATGAATCTAAGTGGGTCTGTTTGGTTTTTTCCAGTTTAGTTGACTGGCGTGGAGGAGCGAGTCATAGAAAATTGGGGCTTTTAATTTCTTGTTTCTTCATGCCATGACATTCAGTACTGACTGAGGGTCAAGTCCTGTGCTAAGTACTTAACATGATCACTTCAATTAATTGGTCTTAAATAACTCAGTTAATCTGACTTCCATTTTCTGATGTGAAAAGAGACTTAGGGTAACTTGCCCAGAGTCAATCATTTTGTAAGCAGCAGAAGATGGAATTCCAACCCACAAAGGCTGACTTTACATCTTGTGCCCTTTCTCCACCCTCCATAGCCAATCTGTTGGCCTTTTGTCTCTTTCTGTTGCCATCACTCTGGTCCAAGTCACCTTAGTGTTGAGCTTGGTCTCAAGCGATAGTCCCCTAATTAGTCTCCGTGGGTTCACTCTGCTCCCTTTGGTTCCTTCTCCACAAAAGAGTGATTTTTTTTTTTTCTTTTTAAAAGAGGATTTCTCTCTGTCACCCAGGCTGGAGTGCAATGGAGCAATCATAGCTCACTGCAGCCTCAAACTCCCGGACTCAAGTAATCCTCCCACCTGGGCCCCCCAGCGTGCTAGGAATACAGGTGTGAGCCATTGCACCTGGCCCTGATTTTTTAAAAACCAAGTCCAATCTTGTTGCACTTGGAGATGCTTTACCCTAGGGTGATACTGTAGCTCTTATCTGTGATCTACAGGGACCTCCCTTAGCTACCTCCTGGCTAGGTCGGCAGCTTCATCTTATGCTATTCTGTGTTACTGTGCTACCTGGCAATATTTCTAAAATGCAAATTCTTGGGCTCTGCTTCTGGAACGTCTGATTGACTAGATCTGAGACTGGGCTCTGGGAATATGAATTTTTGATAAGCCACATTTGCGAAAGTCTTGCTCTAGAAAGTGTGTTCTGTGAATATTAGTTGCTACTTTGCCATGGAAGCTGCTCTTGTCTTTTATTTCACTCACCTTTGAATTCTCAAGAGTTACAATACAGCTCTGCTCATGAGAAGTGCTGTGCCAGAGCTAAGCCTTAATAACAAAACAGTTTCCCTGGATTGATCATTATGGCTTTGGTTATAACTTGGGTTATAATATATATAATATATATAAAATAACTTGGGTGGAAACTGGGTAGTCTCTTCTGTGTGTAATTGAGAAACTGCTCAGCCAAGAGAGACAGAGAGACACGTGGAGAGACACACGGAGAGACACAGAGACAGAGAGAGAGAGACAGAGACCAAGAGAGAGACAGAGACAGAGACACACACACAGAGAGAGAGAAAGAAAGAAAGAGAGGGAGAGAGAAAGAAAGAGAGGGAGAGAAAGAGAGAGAGAGAAGGAGAGAGAGAGAGACTGAGACTGAGTTTGTCTCCAGTTGGGGTTAACAGAATTTTCAGTGGAATTAACACCACTTTTTATTTCTTACAAGAACTTTCTCTATTTAACTTTTTCTCTATTTGAAAAAACTTGAGATGTAAAATGCAGATGTTCATGCCCAGATATGTTGCTGAATAAAAACTCTGTATATTGGCCAGGCACAGTGGCTCGTGCCTGTAATCCCCAGCACTTTGGGAGGCGGAGGCGGGTGGATCATGAGGTCAGGAGATCGAGACCATCCCGGCTAACACGGCGAAACCCCTAAAAATACAAAAACTAGCCAGGCGTGATGGTGGGCGCCTGTAGTCCCAGCTACTCGGGAGGCTGAGGCAGGAGAATGGCGTGAACCCGGGAGGCAGAGCTTGCAGTGAGCCGAGATCATGCCCCTGCACTCCAGTCTGGGGTACAGAGCGAGACTCCATCTTGAAAAAACAAAAAACAAAAAAATCTCTGTATATTAAATGTAATTTTATTCAATATATACTGTACCCATAAGCCTAAACCCCAGGGTTTTTCTTCCTTTTGCTTCTTCCTTTATATATTAACACGGTTTTTGAAATGTGCTTTTGAAATACGAGGGGTTGTAAAACATTGAACTTACAGAATGTGGAGAATAAAATAACCATTTTTGTACTTATCAAAGTTTCAAACAACCCTACAAAAATTTGGAAAACTTTTGCAAGAATCTTGTCTGTAAGGTTTATATTCTAGATTAAGAAGTTATTATGTAATGCACATACAGATATAGATAAAATTACTTTTCACAGATTAATTTTTACAGATATTTTTGTCTACCTTTATCACCAAGTATTTGATTTGTAAGTTATTTAGTTGCACCTCATATATGTGCATAAAATGAACAAGGTACTATTTATGTCACATTATTTCAGTTCTTTGTTTTTGGTTAATTCTAGCATTTGTACTGCATTAAATTATTTTATTGCAGTGTTGATTTTTATTTTCCCCATTTGTACTGAAGAGAATGTTAGGTTGACATTTCTTCTTGGCATGACTCTAAGCTCAGCAAATATAGCAACCGAGGTGCTAAATTTCAGTCAAAAATAGAACTCCTCAGCCTCATTTTGGAAATTTCTTCTCATTCATGCACAGGGATTCTAGTGTCAAATTTTTAGCTCTGCCCTCTGCTGGTCATTTCAAATTATGCAGAAGAATTCTCAGAATAGTGTTCATTTCCAAATGGAAGGAGTTTCAGGAAGGCGTCTTAAAATTTCACCACTGCAAAATATATTCCAGGATAATTAATTGTAATAGCTTTACATTTTAAAATTAAAAATTCTTTGAGGTAAATTTTTGAAATTAGAGAGGAGTGAAATCTTTATAGATTTTTCAAGAAAATAGCATTTGTGTTTTTTTTTCCCCCAAGTACAGGTGAAAACAAATACGGTTACAGTAAAGGTAACAATAACATTAGAGAAAACAATCTGATATGTATAAATGCTAATGTTGATTAAGTATTTTTTGTCCTCTTCTGATATAGCACTTACTCCATTAAAATCTCTTGATAGGTTAAAATAACACAACTTCCTTTTCAGATAAAATGGATTTTTAATTAAGTTGTATTTGCTAAAGGGTTATATGCTCCTTTAGCTAAATGATTAACCATTATTGAAATATGTTTTCACTTTTAAGGATGTGAACAAAAATTTTGTACAGAAGCTTATATCAAGATACAAAGATCATGGTTGCTTATAGATATAGCAATCCTTCTTCCAGCCATTAAGCAATCCTTCAGCCAGCCATCAGACATAGTCAACAAATAACTTGGGTGGAAACTGGGTAGTCTCTTCTGTGTACAGAAGGAAAATGATTATGGATGAAACAAGACATCAGTCCATCCCATGCGCTCATTAATTATGAACAAGAAGCAATGCCTGTAAGCATGAGGAAAGTTTTTACAACGTGAGACCAAGAAAAACAGGGAAGGTATATCTTGCTTACAACCTTGTTGGATCAAGGCTTTAAGGTCCAACTGACATTTAATAATAAT